TGGGACATTTATGTTTGTTAGGGTTCAGTTGCTCATGAGCACGGGATTGTGTACATGAGCTTGTCGCTCTGAGGTTGCTCCTGAATGGGGAAATACATACACTGGTGGGTTACTACAGGCTGGCTTGTGTGCTGAGCTGAGAACTCTGGTTCTTAAAATGAAAGCAAACAGCATGGAGGGCTGGTGACACCTCACTTTGGAGCTCCAATGCCATGGCTTCAGTCAGCCAGGAGGAGGAACTAGAGAGCACAGTTAAGGGATCCCCTCCTGCCCTGTCTGCCCCTGCAGGGGCTTTTGGCTTTCTGCACTAATGAGACAGAAAAACATCTAAAGAGACACTGATGGCGTGGGGTTGGAGGAGGGTAAAAACACATTAGAGGCAAGAAAGAAAGAGACCATGTTACAGTAAACAGAACTCAGTATACACCTCCTGCTGTGCTGCAATGGTCATCAGCAGAGTTAACCTTCCACTCTAATCTCCATCATTAAATCCCTGCTAACGCCCCTGTCCTATGTATGGCCTAGCGGCTGTCTGTCTGTCACCTCCAACGTGGTGAGCCTGGCTCCCCACGGCCTTAGCTCTCATTAACACCCTCTGGCTGGCTGATGGTGTGAGCAGCAGCTGGCTCCCAAGCCCTGCTCAGTTTTGTAGACAAGTGAGGAGGTTTAATCAAATAGGGAGAGGATGAAAGCACCAACAAAGAGAAAGTCACTCTCTCCCCCCCTCCAGCCACTCTGATGTCGCACAGGGCCGCTCTCATTAAAACCAGACTGGGTTTCCTGGCAGGAATTAATTGGAGATAGCCACCTGGTTAGCTACTTTAGTGTGTGGGTCTAGGAGGGGAGTGCTCTTTAGAGTTAATGGAGAAGCAAGCAGCCTACATTGCAGATGGTTGGCTGGTGCAGGCTGCTGAGGGGGTCCGAGGAACACTTTGCCAGGCAAATCTGAGGCTGTGCTAATCAGAGGAATAGCAGGAATGTGTTAAACTGGTCTGCTTTTGGTCTGAGGAGACGCATCAGAATTTAAGGAGAAAATGTTAGCCTCAGGTCCCCCTGAGGGGCTGCATGAAGATTAAACACTCCTTCTGCGCTGGTACCTTCTCCTGCCTCTTTCTCCCTCCACCTTGGGTGGGATAGGTTCCGTCTCACTGAGCGCAGAGTAATTCTGCCATTGTCCTCTGTAACCACCAGCTCAGCTCCTTCCTCCAGGATGCAACCTGCACGCAATATTAGAAGGCTTTTCATTTCCCTTTAATATTAGAGCAGAGCCCTGGGAGGGCATAAACCACACAGAGAAACAAGCAACTGAAAGGGTTGTTGTTTTTTTAATATTTTTAAGCCAGGGTTTGGTTTGAGTGGGCTGCTCCAAATCCCCAAGTGATGCAGGAAGCTTTCAGAGAGTGCCAGGTGCCTTTCCATGCTAAAGGAACATATCTATGCTTGGAAGAAAAATAACCCTAGGCCTTACAGTCTGCCCACAGTCAAGCCACCTGAGGCTGCAACTCACTAGACTTCATAAGCAGGATCGACCTTGGTCAGCACTGCAAGGGGATACCTCCTGGAGCAAGAAATAAAAGAATCCCCCAACAGAACACTGTAGGGCTTTGCAGAGTCTTTGGTACAGAATGAGCTTCCCTCCAAAGCACTAATGAGGCCAGTGCTGCTGCATGGTGCAGTTGGGTGGCGGGCTGCTGGAGGAGTGGTTGTTCAAGTGAGAGAGAGAACTGAGGCTTTTCAAGAGGCTTGAACTGCTACTACTGGTGCTGTCCCTGGGGGGTGGCTCCAAGCTCTCAGGCTATTTTTTAAGTTTAGGTTAATTTGTATCCAAATGGAACTGGTTTGTCTGTCATTATAATCATCATCAGCAGCGCCCTGAATGATCAAATCCCATCTAAAATGCACAGGCCTTCTGTGTTGAGTCCCCATGCTGGAAACACCAGCATCTCTGAAGTACTTGATTCTCTTAGATCCGTCACCCTGGAATGTGCAGCCCCATTGAACCCTACTGTCTGTCCAAAGCTGCTGCACAGGAAGAGACAGAAGGCTAGGAGCCACTCTGTTGGGTGGGAGAAGAAGCGTTGCTTATTGTTTGACTGGCAGAGTTTAACAACTGCAGTAGGCAATTTCAATTCAAGGGGTCCCTGGGGCGCTGCAGAGCATGCTGCTGTTTAGGGATCTTTGCATTATATATTACACTCCCCCCTGCCCCAAGAGCCCTTAAACCAAACTGAGGCGACTGAAATGAGACCCAGCAATGATGATTACATTTACTCCTCCTGCACCTCCTGTAATTCCAGCTCAGCAAGAGTTAGTCATCGCCTGGCTGCCCCTCACCAGTCAGCACCCAAAAATCCCCTCTCTTGGCTCAGACGTGTTCAGGGTGTGTCATGGTGCTGAGGAATGAATTCTGACAGGCCAGTGAAGCCAAGCAGCTCCCAGGATGCTGAGGAATTGATGAATTCCAGCTGGCTGGTAAATTAGGATCTCTAATTAGGAATAGCTGACTGATGAGTACCTTTTTCTTAGGCCTGAAGAAGAGCTCTGTGAAGCTCAAAAGCGTGTCTTTCACCAACAGAAGTGGGTCCAATAAAAGATATTACCTCACCCACCTTGTCTCTCATGTCCTGGGACCGACACTGCACATGACTGATCAGAAAGCATATTTTCTCCAAGCAGAATGTTCCATCACAATGGGAGAGGAGGGAAATCCTTACTCTCAGACTTCCCATAATAGAACTTTCATTCCACCATAGGTAGCACCTTGAAGCTAGGTAGTATCCAGGGAGAAGAGTTCACAGACAAAACACACTCTTATAATTTATCCACACAAATTTTCTTCCCTTAAGGGCTCTTCAGAGGAAAGCACCTTTTTTGCTTTTCACAGTTGTATTCACCAGCATCCTCATGTTCCCCACTAAGCGAGGAACCCAGGAGATTACATCAACATCTTTTTGCCTTTTGTTTACCCTGCCATCGCCCCTTGGGGAAACCAACATAAACAAGTAAGGAGTTGAAGATGGGACTCCCTCCTGACAGGCCCAAGTGACAGGGAGCAGCATGGCGTTGCAGTGACATAAGAACTGGAAGATGGGCAGGGCTTCAGAGGACAGACCGGAAGCTCTGTTTTGGCCATGTTTAGTGTTAGCTGATGATGAGAGATCCAGGGAAAGGTCAGAGAGACAGGCTGAGATGCACGGACTGGATGCAGAGAAACAAGTTGGGAGTGTAGAGAGAGAGATCTGAGAGTCACCAGCATGAAGAACATGAGAGCGGATGAGATCACCCAGAAAGAGGGTGGAAAGTGAGGGGAGGAACAGAAAGGTGAACCCCACTATGGAAAGTGGAGGAGGAACACACCCACTGAGCGAGAACACTGATCAGCATTGTGGGAGAAGAACCAGACCAGTGCAGTATCGTGGAAACTTATTGCCTTCCACTCGGTCTGCATGTGGACAAGCACTGCCTTGAATGGGGAATGAACAGTCTCTCTTTTACCCTCCCCCTGGCCCCCAATGTTCAGTGCCTACCCCTTCTCCCCCCCATGGGAGCTTTAGCTATTGATGCAGCATTCAACCAGTAATAAATTTATGCAAACGTGTTTAGATTGCAAGTGCAGGAAAATATTCATTATAAGAATGTAATGATGCCAAAAGAGAAACAGATAATGCCAACAGCGATATATTGTGAAATGCAGACAAAGACAATAGCACTAATTCTCCTTTCCACAAAGGCCTTCCTACCACTCCAGTAGAGTAAATGTCATTTTCCTCCTCTTCCAGGCAAAGGTGTAAAGGGGCCTCAGTGTAAATGAGAATCAGATCTGAGACTACATGTACTCACCTTATAGGTGGAGAGGAACTTGGTTGAGGATGAAAAAGAATGAAAATCCTAAATTATTTCAGAGAGTTGCAAAGGCGGAAATGGCAACTCTGGTTACAGTGAATCTCATTTTACAGTGAAACTGTTCAGTGATAAAGTGACTTCATTATAAGAAGGCCCCCTGTGTCCTGTATTGTGGTGATTATTTGCTAAGCATGGAAAATGTGCTCTGCGCTGTACGAGAAACAAATATAAGAAGTCCCTTCCCTGGAGAGCTCACAATCAAACAGAGACATAAAGATGAGACTCACTATGTGACCCAAAGGAGGGAGGCACTTGGATTCTTTTTTAATTATTTTGTTTTGTATGTACAGTAAATAATCTTTTACTCCCAAACATCACGCAAACACATTTACTACCAGGCCCCAAGAAGCGTCAATCTTAAAAACCTGGGATTTATAAAACACTGGAGAGATCTGGGCATTTTGCCCCAAATAAGGCGGCGAAGCCTGGATGGAAGTGTCCTGTGATACTTGGTTAGCTTCCCACACTCTTAAAAGTGTCAAACTGTGATCCTTTCTAGCCAGTGCCCTCTCATATCTTCCCCTGATCCTCTCTGGCCCTCCACAATTGCCCTTCAGCCTGTACAGAACTAGAAACCAAAACCCCTGCTCCTGCAGAGTTTATATAATTCCAATGACTTCATTACTGTGACTGTATGAAAGTCCTTCTGTAACACAAAGAATGGCTTTTCCCTGCAGTTCCAGCCTGGAGAGCTCGCCACTTTATTCCCTTTATTTTAACTAGTGAAGAGGCTGAAATTCCACTTGCCTGAGTCTCCAACCTATATAATCTACACTACTTTACTGATCACTGGGGAGGGGGAGGGAGGGTATTCATATTAAAACCCCTTTCAGAAGATAGAGCATGAAAAGACCAAGAAGTGGGACCTTTTAGCTCTCAATCCCTCCCTACAACAGACTTTAACGTAAACACTGACCTGCACAATTGACTTTCCTTTTCTATTTCTTAGAGGAAAGAGTGGCTACTTCTGGCTACTCTGCTAAGAGCAGCTCCCAATCTGCAGGTAGTATCGGAGGTGAGCTCCTCACAGCTCTCACTGAAAGCTGGTCTTCCCAAGTACGAGCATGGTGCTGGAGAAGAGCGATTAGGGATCTTACCTGCCGGACATCCAGCCGGTACTTGAGAATGGGATCCACTGCGTCAGGTTCCTTCTGTGTCCACTGCAAGACATAAGAGTAGTTCTTGGATTGCTTCTGGCTGTGGGTGGGGTTGGGAGTGTCGTAGTAAAACTCTGGGTTGTAAGCTTTTGCTGGGAAAGAAAAAGAAAGAAGAGAAAGGGGATGGGTGTGGGGGTGGGAACTTAAAAGTTACAAAGTGAGATGGCAAGGGTAGCGAGACTTCACTGACCAACTCATCAGCCCACTGCAGCCGAGGAGGTCCTCTGTACCCAGGGGCACAGGCTGGCATCATGCCAAACACCTCATTTACATTTTAAAAGCCATTCAAACCATATGTTTCTATGCTTCCACTTCCACTGGCTAAGGTACTGGGGGGAAGGCAACAACCCAGTGACCCCCAGCACACCATGACACCGCACCAGTGAAGGTGGCAATGGGTTTAGTTCTGTGGTTGAACTAACTCTGATCTCCGATTGAGGCAACTTTAAAGTAGTATTTTTGTAACTCCTGTTTCATCGGCTGCTTCAGAGAGCCTCCTGCTAACAATCCCTGGGGAAAATATCCTTTGGCCAATAGATCATATTTATACTTTAAGTGGGAAAGATAGTGTTTCTGAGCCAATGACTCCTCCTAGAAAATGAAGAGAGAGAGAGAGAGAGAGAGAGAGAGGAAAATATGCCCTAGAAAGAAGCTAGATGATTGGTAACAGAAGGATTTTCCATGGGGGCAGCAGCAGCCCTTTATCTGCCTCTGCTTCCACAGATAAGATCAAAGTGAGCTGGCTTTGTGGTAGGAACTGGGTTGGGTCAAAGACCCAACCCAAAACCTTCCTCAAGATTGCCCCTGAACCCCTTTCCTCTGTGCTCCTGGGCTTCTGGTGACAATCACCAAAATACCACATGGAAAGCTGCTTTCAGCTGCTCTCCAGCCTTGAAGAGTTTGAATAGGATTCAGGGAAGTGCCCAAACTTTCAAGGTCTTAATTGAATGGAATCCTGTGCCTCGTGAGGTTCAGCCATCACTGGAGAGAGCTGCCCATCCTTGGACGCCAATCAAGGCACCAAAATGTGATTTTGAACATACAGATTCCAAGGCCAGAAAGGACCATTGTGATCATCTGGTCTGACCTCCTGTATAACAGGCCAGAGAACTTCCCCAGAATAATTCCTAGAGCAGATCTGTTATAAGAACATCCAATCTCAATTTATAAAAAATGTCAGTGATGGAGAATCCACCAGAACCCTTAGTAAATTGTTCCAATAGTTACAAATATACACCTTATTTCCAGTCTGAATTTGTCTAGCTTCAACTTCCAGCCATTAGATCATTTTACACTTTTCTTTCTTTGTTAGACTGAAGACCCCATTCTTAAACATCTGTTCCACACGTAGGTATTCACAGACTGGAATCAAGTCATCATTTAACCTTCTCTTTGCTAAGCTACATAGATTAAGCTCCTTGAGTCTATCACTATGAGTTTTTGAATCCTTAATCATTCTCATGGCTCTTCTCTGAACCCACTCCATCTATCAACTTCCTTCTTGAATTGTGGGCACCAACTTTTCCTGGCGCCGCCCTGCCCCTGCCCCTACTCCATCCTTTCCCCACCCCTGCCCCGCCCCCATTCCAACCCCTTCCCCAAAGTCCCTGCCCCAACTCCACCCCCTCCCCGCCCCTATTGGACCCCTTCCTCAAATCCCTGCCCTGGCCCCGCCTCTTCCCCAAGCACGCTGCGTTCCTCCTCCTCCCAGCTCCCAGTGCTTGCCGTGCAAAACAGCTGTTTCACAGCACAAGTGCTGGGAGCTAGGGGGAAAAACTGGGCACGCAGCGTGCTCCAGGGGAGGAGAGTTGGGGGGCGGGGCAGGGGAACTGCCAGTGGGTGCAGAGCACCTACCAAGTTTTCTCCATGGGTGCTCCAGGGCTGGAGCACCCACGGAGTCGGCGCCTATGCTGAACACAGTAGTCCAGCAGTGGTTGTACCTGTGCCAAATACAGAGTTAAAATAACCACTCTGCACCTATTCCAGATCCCCCTGTTTGTGTATCCCAGGATTGCATTTGTTCTTTTGGCCATGGCGTCGCACCAGGAGCTCGTGTTCAGCTGATTATCCACCACAACCCCCAAATCTTTCCAGGGTCATTGCTTCCCAGGATAGATTCCCCCATTCTCTAAGGACGCCCTACATTCTTTGTGCCTAGAAGACGACATTTACATTTAGCCACATTAACACACACATTGTTTGCTTGCGCTCAGGTACCATGCTATCCAGATCACACTGAATCCGTGACCTGTCCTCTTCATTGTTTACCAATCCCTCCATTTGTGTCATCTGCAAACTTTTTCAATGATGATTTTACGTTTTCTTCCAGGTCATTGATAAAATTAATAGAGTCACTGCACCCAGCTTAATGGAGTAGCTCCAGATTTACACTGTTGTGACTGAGCTCAAAATCTGGCCCCAAAGAGGCAAGGCAAGAGATGGCCTTGAATCAGAACTCTCCCTGGACTTTGGGGGAGTCCAGATGCAGGTGTGAATTTCCCAGATTGGGGCCATCTCTAAATAGCATGGACTGCTGGAGTGCAGAGCATAAATATCACCCCCCCCAAACACTCCCATTCGCAGAGCACACTGTCACTTTACACTCAAAGCGTGGGCCCCTGTCATTCTGTGGAGGTGTAATCAGACTTAGAAGGATTCCGTGTTTTCTGTTAAACATTCATATTATCCATCAGAGTTATGTCCAAGTCTTTTTTTCTTGCTTGTGCAAAAATTTGTTGATAAAAATAATAAGTTAGAAGTTCAGAACCACCTCAGAGATTAATTACTGCATATTCAACTTTGTATTGACTGTGGAAGTCGAGTTTCATAATGGATTCCGAAATGATAATCATCATCTTGCATAACATTAATTCCTTATTAATTGACTCTGAGATGGAAGTGGCAGCAAAGAGGGAGGAAAAAAGAAACCCTTTAATAATGACTGCAGCATATCCGATACTTTTAAAACTTCACTTCTGGAAAGTTGAACTGTTGCTGGACTTTGTTTTTGGGTGAAAGGAGAACCAGACCAGATACACATTCAGATTATATTTTGGGCCTTATATGTAGGTGAAGCTGGAGAGTGGATTAGCACTGACCAGACCATAGGAGTGTGATGGTAGTGCTGCTTGCCTATACAAAGGTGTGGGGGGAAGGGAGGAGGCATGGAATGGGTGCGGGACAGTCTAGAAGTCACATTGTGCCTGTAAAACTTTGTAACAAAGCTAAAATTTTTTAGCTGTGGAAGAAGCTAACACCCCCATACACCCATCCATTTTAGGTACTGACATTGCCCCCATGACCACAGTATCTGAGCACTTCACAATCTTTAATGAATCACAACACCCCGTAAAGTAGAACAGTATTATCCTCATTTTACAGATGGGGAACTGAAGCACAGAAGGGCTAAGTGATTTGCCCAAGGTTATGCTAGAAGTTTGTGGCAGAGCAGGGAATAGATCCCCAAGCGGCCCAAGACCTAGACTCATGCCCTAATCACTGGGCTATCCTTCTCAGATATATGTGCTAAGAAAGAATTCAAAAGTTTCAGTCAGCTGTATGAGTGCCGAGGTTTTCCCTGGACCTGTAGATGTTTGGTCATAAGAATGGGCAAAGAAGTTTGGAATCCGAAAGCTAGCACTAGAAAGCTATGCCCTGGCTGTTGAGAGAGGCTGGAGAAGAAGGAACATGCTGGCTGCTAACGGGATCCTGTCTCATGGGACTGAGCACCACAAACTGAATGGCATTAATCCATTAAGTACCAGCTCCAGAAAGGAATCCATGTGCCGGAAGCATTTCCAAGTCCCCTAGGAATGAGTAAGCTTTCTAGAGTCAGTTCTGTTTGACAGAGCACAATGGACTTCATTTTGCAGTGATAGCATAAGTGCTGGCTGCAGGCTAGTGAAGAAAGGGGCATAAGTTACGGAAAAAAACCTAATGCCACACAAATGTGCAGAGGTCTGAAGGGATAGGGGAGGGGTCACTGGAGAAGGGGATGTAGCTGGTCAAAATAGGATGTTCTGGGAGCGTGTCAAGGGAAAAGACTAAGGCCAGCATGGTACCAGTGCCTGAGAAATGACTAAGTGGAAGGTGTGAAATAAAATAGATCCCACCAACCTTCCAACCACTCCCTGCCAGCACACACACACACTAAGGGCTTGTCGGTACAAATACTTAATCTGCCACAAGATGGGGTGTAAATCTACCTCTGTAGAAACTGGGGCCCAAGTCAAACCTAAGGTCAAGGGAAAAAACAGCTTTAACAATCAGCAGAAGTGGCTGGATCAGACGTGTGGTTTGAACTCAAGCGTCACTCCCCCTTTTTGCTGCCCATGGAGTCGGAAAGGATTTCACTCACTGTACATGCTGGATTCGCACAAATCCCAGCAGCAAATCCACCGAGTAACAGCATTAGACCCTGCCTAGTTTTTATCTAAGCAGATGTCACTGCACAAAACTCGGGGGAACACACTAAAAGAAGGGTTTTGTTTTAAAAGAAAGAACTGGAGGGCGATGGGATGCTGAGTCTTACACACCTGCTTGGTCAACATTTAAATCCGATTCAGGTTGTCTTTAGCTGAGAGTGGATACTAACAGATAGCTGTACAGTGGCCTACGTGAAATGAGTTTGGTGTTTGTCACTCCTGTTCCTTTCGAGCAAGTGTTCACACCACAAAAATGCTCCAACCCAATTGGCACTAACTAGCCCCCTTCTAGGCAGTGGCAGCAGAGGCACCAAGGACTGCATGAGCCGTGGAGGTCGAGCTCCCTACTCAGTCCTAGAGGGAGTCCTCCCAGAACACAACTGAAGCACCCTGGTGGGGAGAGTGCATGGCGGAAGCTTGCCTGTACTGTATCCAGTCTACGGAGAGAGGGTGTCCGTCTCCAGGGCTCGCCAGCCACCAAACTCGCTATAAGCAAGTCAATTAAAAACATAAGGAGTCAATCTGTGAGACTTACCAGACACCTGGAAGAGGCAGATGGCGACCCCCACATCGTTGGAGATGCTGCACTCGTAGCTACCACTGGTCTCCCGGTTCACGCTGTCCACCTTCAGCTCCGAGTAGTCCTGCTGTTCTGTGGGGAGCAGTGTCAAGAGGTTCCCATTGAAGCGCCAGACGGCTGTGGCTACCTTCATGGGGCTCCCCTTCAGCATGGTGCACCGCAGGGTGACGCTACGGCCCATGCCCTGGCGGATGTCCTGAGAAGTTGGTTCCACAACTGGGGGGACTGAAATCATAATGACAAGAACAGGAAGAAAACCAGTCATTGGAGCAGCAGTCTGTCTCCTAAGCTAGACCCTCAATGGCTGCCATATCTCCCAGTACACATGCCCCTGCTACTCTTGACTGCATATTGCTCTCCTTTGCTAGGGTGTGCCCAAGCAACAGCTGCATCAGCCATTTCCCAGCAACTTGTGACTGGGCTGGAGCAGGTTGTAGCCACCCTCATATACAATATGTAGGGGCAGCCTATGGAGAACACAGGTCCTAGGATACAATACTTCATCTACATCCACTCTGCCAAGGTGGGACATTGTATGCCGAGTCCTGGGTTATCAGCAGGCTGCACCTTCGTATTAAAATGTACAGCCCACATTGTTAAGCTCCACAGCTGGCATTTGCCCTGCAAGCCCTAAATCAGAACAAGAGCAGTAGTAATTCCTCCAAGCCAGTGTGATCTGCAATCATAAAGCATAGCAAAGTAGCTCCTAAACACTGAAATCGGTTTTCTCCTGTGCAACTTAATACAGAGGAGGGTTAAAAAATATATATATCAGCTATATAAAATCCCTGTCCCTAGTTAGGATAAAACCTGTCCACCCTCACAGAACACAGAGCCCTTGGGAGGGCTGTGGGGCATTAGAAGGCTAAAGTGGATGCAAGAAGCCAGAGATATGCATGACAGCGCAGTCTAGTGGTTAGATCAGGGGCCTGGTTGTCAGGACTTCAGGTTCTGTTTTCATGTTTACCATTGACTGACTGACCTTGAAAGGCAAATCACTTCCCCTCTCCATGCCTCAGTCTCCTTATCAGTCACAAGGGGCTAACAACATATATTTGCCTTCCGGGGGTAAGAAGGCTATGAAAATCCATTAGTGTCTGTAACACTCAGAGACCTCTGGAATGTAGGAGTGAGGCATGCAGATGGGACATGGCATAGGGGTAGTGTGAATCACCACTGCGTGGGCTGTACCTATTTTATGTATTAACAGAGGACTTCAGTCGCCAGGGCTATCAATCCAGCACCTTCCACCAGCATGAAACTTTTGATTAAGAATAAGAGAAAACACAAAAGCTCTCTTGCTAAAATGAGTGGGGCTGCCCCAGTGTAAGTGAGGGCAGAATCTGGCTCTGGGATGGCCCGAGCTCCAATAGAGAAAGCAGAGATGTCTTTATGTACATCTAATACAAAAACTACTCTTCCTCCATGAGCCTGGTATCCTCTACAGTCCTGTGGGCAACATAGGCCACCTAGATGTTTAACATGAAAAGATCTCCTCTGCTAAGCGGGGCAAGAGCGTCTCCAGGTCTGGTACAACAGCACCTCCTCTGCCAGGTCACCTTTGCTTGACAGTAACCATCTTATTTTCCAGGTACCTGGCCCAACTCTCAGCTGTTTGGTCCTTCTCTGCAATTAAATGGATTAAAAACAGCCCTGGATGGAGCGTGCCTTGCCCTGTTGAGTGGCATGGTCAGCTCATTACAGATGGCTTGCTAGTGGCATGTCTCAGCAGGTGCTCCAAGTACTGACTTGCCTTTGGCTTGCCAGTCTCCCACCTCACAGAGTTAGAATGTGAGATGTTGTTTGATTTGATCTGGTGTCATCTTCATCCCCAGCTGCTCTCCCATTTCTTGGGTCACATCTGCTCCTCAGTTGAAGCCAGCAGGGCCTCATGTTCTAATCGAGACCGGCTGGGGAAGTGAAAAAGAGAAGGCTTCAAAAGTGACGTGGTGGCGACAGACACTCAGCCAAAGCAAGTGAGCTAGCAGGGGGAGTCGCCATTTCATCGCACTAAGGAGGCTATGGAGGTCTGTGAGATCTGTGGAAGCAGTGGAGGTCATTATGCTGGAGAGGGGGGCTAGGAGCCCCTTCCTGGCTCCAGGAACACCCTGTGCCCTAGTAAAGAGGGACTGTATGAGGGCAGAAGAGGGACAAGGGAGTAGGGGCAGGGCTGGTAGAACCCAGCTCTTTCCTCAGGGCCCAGAAGCTGCAGGGGCTACTGCAGATGCTCTGGGTCTCTGCCACCATTCTGCAGCGTGGGGGAGGGAATGAAGATTCCCTACTCAGACTGCAAGGCAACCAGAATCTGTGACCATCACTCTCTTGTGTGCGCGTGCAGGGGTAAAATAAGCTGCTGCCTCTAGTCACTTTTTCCCCTGGATGGAGATGCCCACCTCCTCAAACACAAAGCAGCACCTCACAAACTTTAATGCATGGGGCTGTGGGAGCTGTCCTGCTAGAAGTACCATAAAGCCAACGTCCTGGCTGCTTGTGGCCATTCAGCTCTGGTTACATGCTTTAGGGAGTTAGAGAGCTAGCCCTGGTTTCCTGGCCAAATTCCAACATGGGCCACTACATACAGGTTCCCTAAACTCCCTTCCATTTCTCCCCGAAACCCGCTTGTATAGTGCTGGTGTGCGCCGTAAAGCGCGGGCTATGTTCCACCCCAGGGGTGGCTGCATTCAGCACTGGGTGAGCACTTTCTCCATACGCAGCATTCCAGGATACGTTTGCATGAAACGCGCTATGCAAATGTACAAGGATGATTGGTTTCCTCTGGCGCCAAATAAACGGGAGAACAGCAACGTGGTGAGAAGTATTATGAAAGGGGTGAAGAGAGCAGAGCATTGCCCTGCCAGCCAGCATTAAAGCAGCAATACTTCTTGTCAAGGTTCCTCCCCCACTCTGAACTCTAGGGTACAGATGTGGGGACCTGCATGAAAACCTCCTAAGCTTACTTTTACCAGCTTACGTTAAAACTTCCCCAAGGTACAAATTAATTTTATCCTTTGTCCTTGGAATATCCACTGCCACCACCAAACTAACTGGGTTTACTGGGAAATGTAGTTTGGACACGTCTTTCCCCCAAAAAAATCCTCCCAACCCTTGCACCCCACTTCCTGGGAAAGGTTTGGTAAAAATCCTCACCAATTTGCACAGGTGACCACAGACCCAAACCCTTGGATCTGAGAACAATGAAAAAGCATTCAGTTTTCTTACAAGAAGACTTTTAATAGAAATAGAAGTAAAGGAATCACCCCTGTAAAATCAGGATGGTAGATACCTTACAGGGTAATTAGATTCAAAACAGAGAATCCCTCTAGGCAAAACCTTAAGACACACAGACAGAAATGGTCATTCTATTCAGCACAATTCCTTTCTCAGCCATTTAAAGTAATCATAATCTAACACATACCTAGCTAGATTACTTACTAAAAGTTCTAAGACTCCATTCCTGTTCTATCCCCAGCAAAAGCAGCATACCGATAGACACAGACCCTTTGTTTCTCTCCCTCCTCCCAGCTTTTGAAAGTATCTTGTCTCCTCATTGGTCATTTTGGTCAGGTGCCAGTGAGGTTACCTTTAGCTTCTTAACCCTTTACAGGTGAGAGGATTTTTCCTCTGGCGAGGAGGGATTTTAAAAGGGTTTACCCTTCCCTTTATGTTTATGACATGCCCCCCCAAATCTCAGCTAGGGTGAAACTCTGGCTGGGATTTCTTTCTGGAGCTCTAGGAAAAACAGAGTTAATAAGACACATGCATCTCTAAATATACTACCAAGTACATAAAGACTAACAATATTTTCCACATCTCAAGGATGATTTTAACCAGTTGATTCTGGGAAACTTTCATGGGAGAGTGCATCAGCCACTTTGTTAGAAGCTCCTGAGAGGTGTTGGATGTCAATCAAAATCTTGGAGAGCTAAACTCCACCGAAGAAGTTTTTTGTTATTTTCTTTGATGGTGTGAAGCCACTTCAGTGCAGCATGGTCGGTTTGCAGGTGGAAACGCCGTCCCCAAACATATGGGCGTAGCTTTTCCAGAGCTTAGACAATGGCGTAACATTCTTTTTCACTGACTGACCAGTTGCTTTCCCTCTCAGACAGTTTTTTGCTGAGAAACACTGCAGGGTGGAATTCTTGACCAGGTCCTTTCTGCATTAAAACTGCTCCCCCACCACGCTCGGATGCATCTGTGGCTACTAGGAACGGTTTGTTAAAGTCTGGGGCCCTTAGTACAGGGTCAGACATGAGTGTCGCTTTAAGCTTGTTAAAGGCCTTCTGACACTTTTCGGTCCACTGAACGGCATTTGGCTGTTTCTTTTTGGTTAGGTCTGTCAGTGAGGCGGCGATTTGGCTGTATTGCGGTACAAATCGTCTGTAATAACCGGCCAAGCCTAAGAAGGATTGAACCTGTTTCTTTGACTTTGGGACAGGCCACTATTGGATAGCATCCACTTTGGCCTGTAGGGGGCTGATAGTTCCTTGATCCACCTGGTGTCCAAGGTGGGTCACTCTGTTTAGGCCTATTTGATACTTCTTAGCCTTAACAGTTAGTCCTGCCTCCCTTATGCGCTCAAGGACTTTTTGTAGATGTTCCAGGTGGTCTGCCCAGGAATCCGAAAGTATGGCCACATCGTCAAAGTAGGCGACTGCATATTCTCCTAATCCCGCTAGGAGACCATCTACAAGTCTTTGGAAGGTGGCGGGTACATTTTGCAGCCCAAAAGGGAGTACATTAAATTCATACAGCCCGAGATGTGTGGTGAAGGCTGACCTTTCCTTGGCAGATTCATCTAGTGGTACCTGCCAGTACCCCTTGGTTAAGTCCAAGGTAGAGATGAACTTGGCCCGTCCCAGTTTCTCTAATAGTTCATCTGTGTGTGGCATCGGATATTTGTCTGGGCGAGTTACAGCATTTAGCTTACGGTAGTCCACGCAAAAACGTATTTCCCCATCTGGTTTGGGAACTAGAACCACTGGAGATGCCCATGCACTTCCAGAGGGGCGGATTACACCCATCTGTAACATATCCTGGATCTCCCGTTCTATAGCAGTTTTAGCTTGAGGAGACACCCGGTAAGGTTGGACTTTAATTGGGCGAGCATTACCTGTGTCAATGGAGTGGTATGCCCGTTCAGTCAGTCCTGGGGTGGCTGAGAACGTTGGTGCGTAGCTAGTGCACAGCTCCTTGATCTGCTGTCACTGCATACGCCCAAGGGTCAT